ACAGTACGGAGGCAGATGACACCACATCTAAGTCTGGTCACGACGTCAGGAAAGAAGATCGGACAGTACACAAAGAAGTCAAATCAAAAGACTAAAAACAGGAACAGTGCCGTATACAAAATCCCATGTGGCAGGTGCGACAAGGCCTATTTTGGAGAGAAACGGGTAGGGGACTTCAAACAAGGATCAGGGAACATAGAAACGACGTACGAAATCACCGAACAACGAACTCTCTTGTGATACACATCGACGAACAAGGCCACCTTCCGAACTGGAACGCAGCAGAAGTTCTCCACAGCGACTTGAGCAAGACCCAGAGGTGGATGTTAGAGGCGGCCTACATCCAAACAGAAGACGCTACCAACATATCAACGGGCTTCTTCAAACTGCACAAGGTGGTAGCACAGAAGATAAAAGAAGAAGGCATAACGAGACGACGCATCACGTAACGAAACTCATTCGAGCGATTTTCGATTCGTTCTGAACAAAAGTGGTCTTGACCAAAAAGTGTGATATGCATTGTAACAAAATATTCAAAAATGTGTTTCTTATTTTGTTGGCTATGCGTTCTGCATTCCCATGACTAAGCAGTAAACAGCGAAACGTCGGGAGTTAAAGTGTTTTTTACAACGTAATGAGCGACGGAACGGCATTGCTGACACTTGCATTTTTACACATCTGTCAAATAATTATATTAATAGGTCCATACATACATGAAACGTATATGAAACCGCAGGTTGAGGAACGAGGGTCATGATCAGATACATATATGTGATGAAAAACTCAAGCCTCATGCTAACAAATGCATTTAAAATAGCACCATGAAAATATGATAATAGGATAATCTGTATTCTATTCGAAGTCTTATTTTAACTACATTTATTATGACGATCACATTTATTATAGGCCTACTCTCTTGTCTGTAAATGAAAGAGTGCAATTTAGTATTTAGTTGATAATGATATCAATAAATATTTTTTATTTTCCTGAATTTTCAGTTAACCCGCGCCCTGCTGGGGGGGGGGGGGTGTTTGAACACCCCCCCCTTGTGGTTTTTCGCGAATGCCGCCGTTTTTGGTAAACCTTATCATACATCAATTCTACACATGTTGTGAAAATTTCAGACCAAGGTCATTCAAGGTCAGGTCACCAGGTCACTTGAAGTGACCTCACCTCATAAAAACTTTCAATGTCTGTCATAGCTACACCGAGTGACCGATCGCTTTGAAACTTTCAGCGATTGCTAAGAGCAATAGCATGTACAAAATGTATATCTCAGAATTTTGATATCGATGACCTAAAGTCAGGTCAATTTTGCGACCTCCCCATTATAAGTCAATGGGAGAAAATTGAAATGCGCCTCTTTTGGATGAAAGACATTATAAACACTCCCAACCACCGAATTACAAGTGGTTTAGACACACTGAACATGAAAATGGTGTCCGTGACCCTTGTTTATGCCCTGAGGTCATCTTAGGTCACGAATGGTATCTAACAGTTTTTCGCAAATAACTTTTGATAGAGGCATGCTAGAGCGATGAAAACGCCTTAGATGTGTTCAGCTCGACGATACGGATCGACTGATATGCAACATGACCCTTTCCGGTCAGGTCATGACCTTGACCTGAGGTCAAATTTTCAAATTGACCTTTCAAGGTCAAGTTATAGTTCATTCGATGCGTCTTGACGAGAGGAACACGATGCCGGTTAAAGTAAGCTCGTACAAGGCTTGGGTCAAAAGTTATTGCAGAAAAACTGTTTTCAAAAAAATCGGCTATTTTTGCAGTTTTTGCCCCCTGCAGGCAAAACCGTTGACGTTAGGTCAAATCTGAGAGAATTACTCAGAAAGGGCGTTAATAGGGCTATCGAATGCGCTTTTCCGCGGCGCTGTAGCTCTATTGGTTCCCGAGTTATGCGTTGGCTTCTTGGAAATTTTCGACATTCGACCTAGAAATCGGCGAAATTTTGCCTTCAATGACCTCTGGTGACCTGACCTTTGACCTGACCAAAAAATTGACCGAAGTGATTTCGCCATTATTTTTGACGCTCTTTCGAACGCCGCCTTCCGCGTATCGCTACGTGGCCCAGGAGCCGAGTTAGAAGGGGGGGTGTTCAAACACCCCCCTCCCCCCCCCAGCAGGGCGTGGAAATCCAGGACCCCCAGCCGGGCGCGGGTTAATTGGTAATGGTATCAAGAAATATTTTTTATTTACCATAATTTCCAGTTACGAACTACCCAAAAAGATGTGGAAACTGGGAAAACTAATTTATCATTCCGCCTAGGATGTTTTTTTTTTCTCACTTTTTCACTCACCTTCCGCGATAATTCTCGCGTGTTTAAAATCCACCGCCAGCTCATCCATTCTTCGCAGTGCGACGATGCCCGCGGCGGCTAGCACGCCAGCCTGACGCCACCCACCCCCCAGGACCTTCCTGCAGCGACGAGCCCTGACGAATAGATCGGGGCACACGTGGTGTGGGGTCAGAGGTCACGCAGAGGACACAAAAGGTCACGGGGTCACACAAGTCAGTACTGTTGACGGGGTCACGCAAGGTTAGAGGTTGGGGGGGGGGGGTTACTATGGAGGTCAAACTGGGTGCCACGCGAACGTAATGTAAGCGACAATATTCTCGATATCCCGTGAAAAGAGGGCTGCTTTTAACCCGCGAGTTGCTGGGGGGGGGGGGCGTTAAACGCCCCCACTTTTTTCGCCGGGCCATAGCATAAAAACGGCGCGCCGCAGGCGCGCCAAATTTTGGGTACCTGTAGGGAATTGATTGAAGTTTATTGTGACAAAGTTTCAAAAAATCGGTCGGAAAATTTTTGAGATATCGAGGTTTTAGTGACGTCATGATTTCTGACTTTTCGACCAAAAACGGCATATGTTCAAAAAATCATATAAAATCACAAAATAGACATACAGACATGCCGTAGACGCCATTAGACTGCCAATACCATGAGCAATCAAATGGCTATCTTCGATTATTGATTATCGTTCCGCATTTTCCAAAATCTTGAACTGAATCTTGGCAATTTCTCGTGACTACTTCACGACCTTGATACATGCATTTCTTAAATTGAACTTTTTTAGCCAAACACGTACACATATGATAAAATGAATGTCACCATCGTGTTCTACGCCCCAAATTACCCATAAGACATGTGTCACAGGCTGCGAATATCAGTTTTGATTTTCGGGGATATGTGCCTACCCGGTTGACCTGACCTTGACCCTGACCTATGCTTGACTGACCCCTACATGCAGCTGACACTCTTGTAGGCCTTATATGATGGATTGTGCACCGTTTTGACAGAGTTTATGACGAGAGGCGCCCATTGCGAAGTCCGGAAGTCCATGCTACTGAAAGCCCGATTTCAGGTGTTTGACCTGACCTTGACCCGACCTGTGACCTCAAAATTCAAATTTAAAGTACTCATCTGAAGCGTCTCGTCGCGCTCTTTCGTTTGCCGTCTTGTGCGTTTCGCTGCCCCTATTGGTTCTCGAGTTATCGGCTGGGGGCGTTTAACGCCCCCCCCCCCCCAGCAAACGGTGGGTGGCGAAATACCCCAGCAACTGCCGGGTTAAGACGCCTTTTTATTTTAAGATCCCCTTGGGCCTTACTCTACAAATAGTTCGAAAGCTCCAAGTGTCATCTGATGTAGGTAGGTACTCGTTCACGTTGCATAAGCTCCTAATTGTCATAAGCTCCTAATAAGCCTAATTGTTACAGTAACATCACATGACTTATTTTCATAAAATAATTTATTTCTTCCCAACGGCTCACTGCTTACTTTCTTATGAAATCTGTCGATCCGACGAGTAAAGATCCGACGGGCGCCCCCAGCGTCTTGCTCAAACAGAGAGTGCTGGAGGAAAATCCACGCAGAATACGCGACATAGGCACCTCTGGCGGTGGCAAATGGAAGCTCTAGGTCACGGGGTATTCAATAGGTGACGCCGCAGCATGCTGGCAACGAGCGTGGGGCGTTGCAATGAAATATGGTGACAACGCGCCTATACTGACTACTAACGGTTAAATGTTTTCTTACCACTTAGTGAGTTTTTCACTTTTAGGTAGGTAATAAAACTCATTCCCAAACCAATCAAACCAATGAAGACACGACACGAGCAAACTTATCCGAAAGGAGAAAATGATCAAAACATTTAGCGATACCCCGTTAGTTGAATGGATGGTGCCTACTTACATACATGTGAGGACCGTTCCGTCATTTCCATGCTCAGGATATTTAAATACCTCTCCTGCACACCTCAAATCCCTGTTCCGGACTGGACGGGCAACTTTATCGCATGCTGAGATGCCCGTAAGAGCACGCCCGGAGCCGGGTGCGGTGAGTGCTTGGGGAGGGGGGGGGGGGGGAGGGGCTGGTCGGCCTGGTCAAATGGACATGCAGGCTCAGCCCCGGCGATTCACCGGGGATGAGCCGGGGATAATACAGAATGTTTATACAAGGTATCTTACTGCAGTAGATGGCTGCGTTGGCTAGTCGTGCTCCGTCCATGTGCAGAGGAATCCCTATCTCTCTCGACAGAGAAACGACCTGAAAGGAGAGTTCAATAATCACACAATGAGGGTGCCTGGTGTCAGAGATTGCTGGAACGAGCGCTACTGGAGTGTAAGACCTGTACATTTTAAATTACCGGTCTAGTTTTGATAAGCAGGAGCGGTAGGTTTTAGGAAAACCTAGACCACTTTCGGCACTTTCGTTATCGCCCTACATAACAACAGCTAGGCAAATGAACAATAAATACCTTATCTTAATTGGATGAATTTGAGCTAATAAGGCAACTTTTCAGTTTCCATGTGCATTTTGCCCAAAACGATGAAAGGCTGTCAAGGGCCAGCGTACCGGCTAAGAAGTGTTGGTTCCATATGACACTACAGGCTGACTTGCACCTGACCTCTCTAGTTTCTCGCGACTGATTCACCGATACCTAATTTGAGTCGAAAATGTAGCGTACTACAGAGAGATGGCGGTAGGTCCCTCATTTCACCCAGAACCTACCTGGTCCAGGTATTCCAGCGGAAGAACTTTTCCGCCGCAGGCGTTGTGCGTGTTTTCCAGGCAAATTAGACTGGTTACAGGATAATGAACGTCGTCCGCGCGGACGGCAGACCTCAGCTTCTCAATAGCAATGGTGCCATCCGCGTTGTTAGGAAGAGTCCAACCGTGAACCCCTAAAAACAGAATACACATGGATCCGTAAAATGAATTGGCGACGACGAACTTTTCAAATTGGACTCCTTTCATGGAACAGCGTTTTTAGTAGCGTTTACGAATGGCGTTATAAGTTGATCACGAATTTTATTGGTTTTGACAAATTTTACTTCAATGTGGGGTCGGTTTATTACCATTTAACCATATTATATTACGGTATAAAATAGCAGTGCTGCTGTAATGCCGGCGCAGCGGTCGCTGTATTGACAATAAATTACCAACGTTTACCGTTTACTACATCCTAATCGATAGCTTGGTAATCATCAAACGACTTTTACGCGACAGCTGACCAGGTTTTGCTGGTCCGGGTATCAGCCAAAATATACTTAGATCCATCCACAGAACATCATAAGATGACGTCATACCACAGCATCCCTGTGACGTCACTTGCCTGCGATGGATGCTGATCCTCCCTGCTCGTATAGGTTTATATGGGACTTATCCCCAATGATAATTTCGCCACCTCTGGGACAGTGCACCATAACTGGAAAAGAATGACACATGTTAGTATCATCAATCGAGACGTACAAGTACAGACGTTAACATTTTTACTATAGCTGAACATTTTTCTTTATGAAGTGAAAGAACCAATAAAAGACCCCAGAATGGCAAAATGGCAAAACAAAAAAATAGAAGGGGCAATCCGGCTACCCGGGAGGAGATACATAGGACACCCCGACCCACCCCTCACCCCACCCTAACGAGCCATCAAGGAAACAAGACAACGTGGACGAAAACTACTCCAAGACAACACGGACGAACGAAGGAACAGAACCGGGCCCAAATAGGTACAGCAATCTGTGGTGGCCCGTAAGCCGAAATACCTAATACCTAATAACTGATGGCGCAGAGAGACGAAAGGGGAAAAGATGAAAGAAAGAATGAATGAGAGAGAAGAAGAAAGAAAAGAAAGAGGGGAAGGGGAGAAGAAGGAGGACGGGGAGAAGAAAAGAGCGAAAGAGAAAGACAAATAACTACAGACAGACAGACAGACAGACAGACAGGCAGACAGACAGACAGACAGACAGTCGACGGACATACTTGCGATTAAATTGGCCATAGTGCCGCTGGGCACGTAGATAGCAGCTTCAAATCCCATTTCACCACAGGCCAATTGCTCCAGTTCTGAAACAATACATAAACCAATATGGCGTCACGAAAAGGTTGAAAATTGTACGCCAACACAACAGGAATTCATGTCCTTTTCTGACTTTGTTTTTCTCCACAGAGTTTGACCGTTCTTACTTCAGAGTGCTGTCTGCTTTGATCTTTGACAAATATGTGTCCTCTTTATGTCTGTATATCTCCTCTAACCTGTCAAGATGCTGCCATTTTTACTACTGACAAAAGGGTAGCCTCCGACCAGCGACATCTCATCTCATCGGACATCGATCTGGTTGTTCAATAATCTTACTTCTGACCCTGACTGCCTCACTTGACCGTGGCTGTCTCATCTAACTTTGTTTGACGCAATGTCTCATCTGGCCTTTGACGTGGTGTCTCATCTAACTAGTGACATGCTTTCTAATCTAACCAGTGGAATGTTGCCTCAATGGCATAAATCTTACCATTGACGGTGGGATCATCACCAAAAACGTCGTCTCCTACGGAAGCCTCCACCATCGCCCGGTACATCTCCGCAGAGGGCCTGGTGACAGTGTCGCTCCGTAGATCGATCACCTGCGGTAGACATGGCCCGAGGTCAGGTCACAGAGGTCAGGTCACAGAGGTCAAGTCACAGAGATCAGGTCGCAGAGGTCAGATAAGTGAGATCAGTGTCATAGGTTAATCCACGCCGGGCCAGTGCTCCGCGACTTCCGCATCGGACCAGGGGGGGGGGGGGAACAGTGCCTGAACAGTGAACACCTCCCCCCGTCTAACTCGGCTCCTGGGCCACGTAGCGACATGTGGTAAGCGGCATTCGAAAGAACGTCAAAAATAATGATGGAAACACTTCGGTCATTTTTTGGGTCAAGTCAAAGGTCAGGTGGCCAGAAGTCATCAAAGGTCAAATGTAGTACACTTCAACAACTTTGGAAATTGCCAATGGCTAACTCGGGAACCAATAGAGCTACAGCGCTGCAGAAAAGCGCATTCAATAGCTCCTTTACAGAACTTTCTGAATAATGGCCTCAGATCTGACCTCAGGTCAACGGTTTAGCCTTCAGGGGGCAAAAACGGTAAAAAATAGCAGCTTTCACGAAAAAGGTTTTTCGGTAATAACTTTTGATTCAAGCAAGCCACATTACTTCTACCAGCATCGTGTTCCTCACGTCGAGACGCGCCGAATGAGCTATTCGTTGACCTTAAAAGGTCATGTTGAAAATTTGACCTCAGGTCATGGTCATTACCTGTCCGGAAAGGGTCGTGTTGCATATCAGTGGATCCGTATCGTCGACATAAATACATCTGACGTGTTTTTAGCGCTCTAGCACGTCTCCATCAAAAGTTATAGCTAAAACACTGCTGTGACCGTTCAGATGACCTGAGATGATCTCAGGGGCACACAGAGGGGTCACAGGTGGGGGGTGGGGCACTTTTTTGCCCCCCCCCCCCATTTAGTTTTTTTTTCGATATATCTCCAGAACCGCTGCGCCGATCGTCACCAGACTTTCAGTACCCTCCCGTGAATAGCTATTGCACTTTGTGAACAATTTTTTTCCAAAGGCTATGATAGGTTTGCCGCTAATGACGTCAGAGTGACGTCATTTCTGCCATTTTCGACCCAAAAAAGGTTTTGCGGGAACAGCTGTCAGGCCTACAGCTTTAGAGATACAGAAAAATGTTTCTTACATAAAAAGTGTGAAATTAAAAGGGCTACAAAACTGTTATCTCGGAATTTTGACATTTTTGGATTTTGATGCCTAAAAATCAAAAAAATAGATTTTTTGAATATAATAGCCTAAAAATCCAAAAAGTTTTTTGAATTAAAAAAAAACGGAACATATGTGATAGTCCCTACAGCCTTCTATCTACATACCAAATTTGAGATCGATACCTCATTTTTTGGCCAAGTTATAGCGAAAAAAAAACTTCAAAATTGATGACGTCAAATTTAAAAAAAAAACTCAATTTTTAGTAATTTTAGACCTCGTAGCGCAAAACAAAGACCACCATTAGACTCCCTGTGACGAGTTGCATCGAATCAATACCCATATAATGCAAATGTAACAACTTTGAAATTTGACCTTTTTTACCTGACCTTGACCTGACCTCCACCAGAAAGTGACCTTAACCGTACCTGATGGTCTTATAACCAACACCATTGAGTTGGAAATGAAAAATTGGCCATAAATCATGCATCGCACAACCTTAAATAAAAGTTGGGTTCATGGTGACCCTTGGTGACCTGACCTGTGACCTGACCTGGTGTGACCAGTGACCTCTAATAGCAACATACCTATGTAGGGGAGAGTGGGGTGGGTTGTATCAGTTTTTACTCCGAGACCCATAACCTCGTAACTATCCGTGATAAACTCATTATTTCCATACTATCCCCTTCCTTGATTCTTCTGCTTTTTTGTGCAAAGTAACTTTTCCGCTACCTCTACCAGTTTTTCTTCTACGGTCTCCCGAATAGAACAATGTTTTTGATACAACTTGCCCCATGGCTTGGGTGAGTTGTATCACATGGTGGGGTAATTTGTATCACTATTTCACGTTTCAAGGAGAGTGCTTGGTACTGGTTTTGAACATAACAACAACATTAAATGGGGTTAATACAATGTATAGGTATGCTCAAAGGCTTCACTTTATTAGACCAAACTTAGGTCAATGCAATCCGAACGAAACATCAACAGACTAGACGCAAAAGTGGCCCGTTAAGAGCAAAGAAGTCAACACATTGTGCCGAAATGGAACGAGCATTGACTTGCTACCTACAAACGCGAGCCAGGGCTTAGCTTTCGCGATCAAAAGCAACATACCCATACATACATACATACATACATGTTACAACATACCCCACCCGGCTCTGATACAACATGTACCTAGCCGCCATCTTGGAAAAAACATCCTTGTGCTAAAAAAAACAGCGGACAGCTGGAGAAATCCTTTTTCACTCACGCAGCCTTAGAACCTACCCTCACCACCGCCACGGAGATCTTTCAAATTCGTGCACATCTAAATGCCCAGAACACACATTTTCTTGCAACTTATTTTTTTAGAATGACATTAAAAAAACATAAAATCGGCTCTCACCTCGAGACGCGTCCACTCAGCCACAAGACAGTACAGGGAAAGATGGCGCCCAGAAAACCTCGTCGGCTGGTCGTGTCGCGAGCGCCATCCATCGGATAAGTTTGGCACAATTCGCCCTGATACAACTTGGACATGATACAACTCTCCCCGCTCTCCCCTATTAGACAACTGACGCCCTATCGCTGATTTTCGACAAAACGCGTTTTACTCGGTGTTATAGCGCTTTCCCTAGATGACCCGTGAACGGTGAAACATTTTATCTTTGACCTGACCTGTGACGTCATCGGTGACCCTGAGGTCAATGAAATTTGGTTTCCTTCGACAAATTTGACAGGGCTATCGAACGCCGTTTTAATTTTTCGGGATCCGTCATGTAGTTTCGGAGATACGGGGGGGGGGGCAAAAAATGCCCCCACCCACCCCCACCGTGCGGAAGGTGGCCGGGAGGCCCACCGCCTGCCGGGTTAAGAAATGTCATTTCATTTGCCTGTGAGTTTTTATTCATCAGGTGCTTATGTTTCTTCATTCAATGGCGGCGGTCGTATTTGTCCGCGCAATCCCATAGTCAGTGGCCGCGATATTCAGCGCCAAGTTAAGAAATTGTATTTCCAAACCCGCGCCCTGCTGCGCCATTCCGCCATATGCGTTCCTCTGGGGGAGGGGGGGGGGGGGGCAAATTCTGCCCTCCCGTCTAAATTCCGGACCGATGGTCGTAGTAAGACGAAAAACGGCAATGGAAAGCTCACGACAAAATGAAACTTTGGGGCATAAAAACTAAGTAGGCTTGAATAAGAAGGTAGGTCAGAGTAGAAGGAAAGTTATCTTGGGTCAGAGGTCAGGTTAAGACCAGTCAATGTTCAGGGTGAGCATTGCCAGATTCTAGATGTTATCGGCTTTGGAGCTCCGTCTTCGTCAGTCACCCACCTTGGTACGGTCGTTGGGCGCCATCTTGGAGGAGTCAGCTGCGTAATACGGCCGTAGTGGTGCTCGCGTCAGAGTCCTGAGTTTCCCGGCGGCACTGCAGACGCGGAGCGAGTCCCAGACTGTCGGAACGAGTTGGAAACAGAGAGGCATCACACAGAGATAAAACACAGTGATCGGGTGCCGGGGCTAAGTGGCAGACGGCAGGCGCTACAAATGCAAATATTTACTGGAGTTTAGTGACAGACCCGGAAACAAAAGATCTGCTGCCTGGGTTGACCCGCGCCCCGCTGGGGCTCCTGAGCCACGTAGCGATATGCGGAAGGCGGCGTTCGAAAGAGCGTCAAAAATGATGACGAAATCCCTTCAGTCACTTTTTTGGTCAGGTCAAAGGTCAGGTCACCAGAGATCATTGAAGGCAAAATTTCGCATAATTTCAGGTCGAATGTCGACAATTTCCAAGAAGTCAACGCATAACTCGGAAACCAATAGAGCTACAGCGCCGCGGAAAAACGCATTCGATAGCCCTAGTTACGTCCTTTCAGAGTAATTCTCTCATATTTGACCTTACGTCAACGGTTTTCCCTGCAGGGGGAAAACTGCAAAAACTGCTGATCTTGTCGGAAAGTTTTTTTTTTGCAATAACTTTTGACTCAAGCCTTGCACGACTAGCTTACTTTTACATCGTGTTCCGTGTTCCGTGTGGCATCGTGTTCCTCTCGTCAAGACGCATCGAATGAACTATGTATAATTTCACCTTGAAAGGTCAGCTTAAAAATTTGACCTCAAGTCAAGGTCATGACCTGACCGGAAAGGGTCATATTGCAAATCAGTCGATCCGTATCGTCGAGCTGAACACATCTAAGGCGTTTTCATCGCTCTAGCATGCCTCTAGCAAATGTTTTTTCGCGAAAAAAAAAACTTTTAGATACCATTCGTGACCTGAGATGATCTCAGGGGCATAAACAAGTTTCACGGACACCATTTTCATGTTCAGTGTGTCTACCTTGCAAGTAATTCAGTGTTTGGAAGTGTTTATAATGGCTTTCGTCTAAAAGAGGCGCATTTCAGTTTTCTCCCATTGACTTATAGATAATGGGAATGGGGAGGTCGTAAAATTGACCTGACCTTAGGTCATTGATATCGAAATTCTGAGAGATATATTTTGTACGTACATACTATTGCTCTTAGCAATCGCTGAAAGTTTCAAAGCGACTGGTCACTCGGTGTATAGCTATGTCAGACATTTACCCTGTTTACATGAGTCACTCAGCCTAAACGGAAATATCCGATTAGCCAGGGAACGGAAAATGCGTTTCATTGAAACTTTTTATGAGGTGAGGTCACTTCAAATGACCTGGTGATCTGATCTTAACCCGCGCCCCAGTGGCGGTCTCAGCCAACTTCGCCCTAGTGGGGGGGGGGGGGCATATGTTACCAACCACCTCTAACTCAAAACTAAGAGGGCTAGAAAGACGCAGTAAAAAGCAGTCGATAGATCTCGATGCGTACGTTTGAAAGTATTTCATTCATTGTTCATCTCTGAACAATATTGGGGTCACCAGAGGACAGAGGTCATCAAAGGTCAAAATTTGCGAATTGTCATGATAATTTTCCGAAACATGCCATTATCTCAGGAATTATGATAGCTAGAAAAACGCTTGGAAAAGCAATCGATAGCTTTTTAACTTTTCTTTTGATAAAGTCATAATAACAAATGACTTCAGGTCAGTGGTTTGCCTCCAGAGGGCAAAAACTCAAAAAATAGCTGTTTAAAAAAAAGTGTTTTTCGACAATACCTTTTGACTAAAAAAAGCCACGAAATTCTATTGCCAGAATCGTGTTCCTCTCGCCGAGACGCGTCGAATGAACTATAATTCGACCTTGAAAGGTCAACTTGAAAAGTTGACCTCAGGTCAAGGTCATGACCTGACCGGAAAAGGTCATGTTGCATATCAGTCGATGCGTCTCGGCAAGACAAACATGACAAACATGACGAAGGTTAAATGACCGTAGTCTGAAATTTTAACAGCATGTGTAGAATTGATGTATTCCAAAGCCGTTTTTGAGATATTTGTGAAAAACCGCAGGGGGTTTCAAACAGCCCCCCCCCCCCCAGCAGAGCGCGGGTATCCTACACTCGGCACAAACGTGTCACACATTTCTGAAGGCAGTGGCACTTTGATCACAGCACCAGACAATAACAATCCACTGCGGACACAATGACTAATGACTGATCCTCACCGCACGCTGGCTGATCTCTCAGAAGACTAAAGGGCCCGCTCGGCTGGTTACTTCCGCCGGAACGCCGCGGCATGGGCGCGTGGCAAGCGCTCATTGGGTAGCCGTCAGCTGGCGTCTCCAGAACTTTCATTGCACAGTTCAAGGACACCTGACGAACCCCTCCGGTCGATACAGGCATTTCCGAGAATCGTGCTCGGCCCATGTAAAGGCGACTGATGAACATATGAAGGCGTGGCCGCCTAAGTCATGGTACCTACTAACTACCCTTGCAATGTTCATTGAACGTAACTCATACAGTGTCCTCAACCTGCATTGGCCGCAGCAGAAAGATGCCAAGGTAGGTGGTGTCAGTGATTTCAATTACAGAAAATCGGGATACCGATACCAAACCAAATACCAACCAAAAACGATGGCAAAATACGAAAATACCAGAAACAAGCTTGGGAATGGGATATGATATTGAGGGAAATGCCAACTTTTTACAAGTCACAACCTGTTATAAATTAGTCAGGATCCATATAGTACAATAAAGACGTAATAAAGACAAAAAATGTGAGACTAGAAAAGACATAAGAATTGAAATACCAAATACCGCGTTGGTATGGTTTTGGTATCGGTAACGATATACCATATCCGGCTAACATCGCCATTATGGGTGCTGCATCTCTTAAGGGGCTTTCCTTGATTGACTCAGATCGCGTTACAGATACAGAACTGACGCTCGTCTACTCGACCTTTGATTTAAGTCTCGCATGTGTAGGGGGGGTCGGATGGACCCCCCCATGGTTTTTCGCGAATAACTCGCGTAAAAAGCGGCCGATCGCGACGAAACTTGCAGTACCCTCGCATTGATCAATTTTACACCTACCCTGAAAATTTCATGACCCTGACCCAAATGACCTTTGACCTGTGACCTCTTTTCCGAGACCATGTTTGGCCGGAATCGCGATTTCGCGTATGTCGGCTCGCACTAGCCGCGTGTTTGCAAGCTTTTCGTGGTTTCAAACGTTCAAACATGTGATTTGATGTTACTCCCGTGTGTGTCAAGGTCACCTGAAGGTCAGGTCAGGTCATTGACCTTTGGTGACCTCGGGTGACCTCGGGTCACTTTTTCGAGTTTTACATGTTTCTAGGCTAGTTTTTGGAGCTGAATTCGAATTTAGCAACCATTTGAACATTTACGAAGTAGTTTTGGTGACTTCGTAACATGTTACGAAGCTGTCAGAGGCGGTTGACACGTACTACGAATACCCGTCACGACGCCTACTGGTTGACCTGACCTGACCTGACCCGACCTGGTCTAAATGCTTCAAGACATCATCTGTGATCAAAACTAACACGATATTCGTGATCAGCATCCCGAAAACCCCTTAGCAGCCACACCTTACGACTTTCTAACAGGTCCCGATTTTCCCGACTTTGGGTCATTCACCTGACCTGGAAGGTCAACCAATGACCTAGGACCTTAAAATTGGGTATCATCGGCTTCCTCTTGTCACGGGTAACACGCTCGTTTTTTCCGCGAAGCTCTAGCTCGATCAGGGGCCAAACGGCAAGGGGGGGGTCCAACCGCCCCCCCCCCTACACATTAGAAGCTGGCAAACGCCGCACACATGCGAGGGTTAAGTCTCGACCTAATCGACCTAAGACATTCCCTATTCCAGGTCAGGTGACTAAATCGAAAGATGAGACAGGGAAGGTCAACTAGTTCGTATATTATCCCTCGCCCGTGTATGGGGTCGAGCGGAGCCCTCCCCCTTCGGTTGTTTCGCGAATAACTCGCGGAAAAAGCTGCCGATCGCAACAAAAATTTCAGTGCCTTCGAGTTGATTACTTTTACACCTACCCGAAAAATGTCATGCCTCTGACCCAAATAACCTTTGACCTGTGACCTACTTTTCGAGACCATGTTTGACCGGCATCGCTATTCGGCATGTATGTCGGCTCGCATTAGCCGCGCGTTTGCAGTTTTCTCGTGGTTTCAAGCGTTCAAACATGTGATGTGATGTTGCTCCCATGCATTAGGGTGGATGTCAAGTTCACCTGAAGGTCAGGTCAGGTCATTGATCTTTGATGACCTCGGTTCACTTTTTCGAGTTTTACATGTTTCTAGGCCAGTTTTTGGAGCTGAGCTCGAATTAGGCAACCATTTGAACATTTACTAGTGTTGGTCCCTTCGTAACATGTTACGAAGCTGTCAGAGGCGGTTGACACCTTCTACGAATACCCGTCAGGACCCCTACTGGTTGACCTGGCCTGACCTTACCCGACCTGGCCTAAATGCATGAAGACATCATCTGTGATCAAAACTAACATGCTATTTGTGATCCGCACCCCGAAAACCCATAACAGCTATACACTTTACGACGTTCGAACAGGTCCCGATTTCCCCTACTTTTTGGTCATTGACCTAACCTGGAAGGTGAATTAATGACCTAGGACATTAAAATTGGGCATCATCGGCTTCCTCTCGTCACAGGCAACACGCTCGTTCTATTTCCGCGAAGCCCTAGCTCGATCAGGGGCGAAAGGGCAAGGTGGGGTCCAACGGACCCCTCCCCCCCCCTCCTCGTATACGCTCGCGACTGGCAAAACACCAATACGGGCGAGGGTTAAGGCCTGGCTACACTATGCGTTTTCTGCGTGCGTTTTTTTGCGTGTTTGCGGGTTTTGCGTAATATCGTTCTAGAAAAAGGGTTATTATTAAAAAAACTTCTTTAATATTGATATAAAAAATTAATAAAACGTTTATGTTAATTAAAAGTTTATATTAAAAACATATGACAAAAACGTAATTTCGTTTCTTTCTAGAACGATATTCTGCAAATCACGCAAACTCGCAAAAAACGCACGCAGAAAACGCATAGTGTAGCCAGGCCTTTATACCTAAGCATATAAACAACGATTGGTCAATTCTGGGTCACTTTGTAGGTAAGTAATTGTTGGCAATTCACAAACATATTTCGAAAAGCCATGTGAAGGGAAATCGCAACGATGGCTCACAAGCAGCGAAACCAACAAAACCATCAACAAAGGCACAATTATTGGCAGAACCGGCGGGACCACAGCACTGCACCGGAAGTCGGAACCAACTAATAACAATGTAGTTGGTCAATGGTCCATAGCACTCACCTTTGCTGATAACTGACGGCCTCGATTTGGTAAGTAGACCACAGAGGGACATTTATCGTCTTGAACACGGCCAAAACCTGGAAAATATAAAATACAAATATGGCCTCTTAACTGGACGGGCTCAGCAGATGCGGCGCACAAGTTGATATCCAAATCAACCAAATAACTTCCCCTTAGCCCACAATCTTTAGAAAACAAAATGGTTTCAATGGTTTCAACTCTAAATACACTGAAAGGGGCAAATCCCACAAGAAAACGAGTGTGTTATTTAAGTTGACGCAACTACAAAATAAAAGGACAAGTCGGACATGGTTTATGCTCTTTATTGATGAATAGTTACGAGTTACGAGTCTACACTCATAGCTGAGCGGTCAGCAGTCCAAACAGACTGGAAAGGGTGACATTGATCGGCACGGTAGCCGTGGTAGAGCGCACTGCCGCCTGCCGGCCTTCTTAGAAAACACGGACCTATAGACATACATACTTCAGATATTTATTGGTCATAGTGCTCTAACCGTTCATTTTAGGGATACAAAAGCCATTCTTTACCTGCAAAGTCGTAATGCTTATGATAAAATGCCGAAGTCATTTGTAGGATTCGGGTCGAGCCAAGCCCATATAAAAAACACCTTTGTTGACGCATACAGTGTCGTATTGTGCAAATAGCAGCATAGCCTGCAATCAGTTTCTGTTCGGACGCAGTTCTCCCAGTGGGTGTATATAGGGCGGAGGCGGGAGGAGCTCCCGAGGCGGAGGATAGAATACCTATCGCATAATTTGACACGCTATTTTACCTATGTGAATCATGAACTAAAGCTCGAAACCCGGTGCCTGAAGCTCGAATGTATAAAGTCTCAAATCGCGCATGGTTGCACTTGAAACGGCGACTGCAGCCAGTTGAGGTCAGAATGAGTTACCTCAAAAAGCGAGCATTTATGTGTCAACATGCCGGGCCGGCCGCCACCGGCCGGTTCGACAGTTAGCGACGACAACGACGCGGCTCCCGTTGCGCCGGCGTCGTGCGTTTACGATCTGTGTTCACACCGCAACGTATACCTAATCAAGAAATATGCATTAATTAACGAACACTTTTTGGGTCCTACGGATTAGGAATCGAGACGATTGAATACGCAGACACGAACTATGAGTGACCTACACAATTCGCACGAACATTTTTGGTCCGATTGCTCTGCTACACCAGTTCACCGGTTCCAGCCCTTCCCTTCCCTCTCCCCGCAAAGGGAGCGACAATCAGCTGATTGGCGGTCGGCGAGGTCAAAGTTCACTCCGCCGAGACAGTCGGGGGGGGGGGGGGGACACGCCACGTAGGGCCTTGACGCAACGCCGCAGGGGAGGGGGCTAGTGACACGGACACTGAAAGGGACAACATCTAAGCTCCGCTTCACTCAAGGCTCCACTACACCATAGGATGTGCTTTTTTCCGATACATTCCTTGCAATCCCATGCCGTCCCCTTGAACGCACTTACCTCGTCTATTGAGTCGTATCAGCGCAACCACTCCGCAACCAGCACGAGACGGAGACAGACGCCAGTCTACCCCACACTGAGTCTGGTCCCGTCTGGCGGTGGATGAACTGGGATGCCAGATCCCCCGCGCATAGCGCCACCTTGGATATGAAAATAAACACTCATTGGACTCGTCTGCCACCAGGGCCGTATGGTATGATTGGCCCCAGAGGTGGGTGTGTGCGAGGTGTGATTGGCAGGATAATGTTAACCACGTCTTGGTAGTGATAGAGGGAATCAGCATTGAAATGCTTGTAGGCTGTTGTTGGTTCCGTAACTTAATGTAAAAAAAACACTGGCGCATATGTGGCTCGGCTGAATCAGAGACCAGGCGTGACCTTGATATGTCGTGGATCAGATGTGGCATTGATCAGCTGTCGCTATCCACACATGACGTTGAATTACCAGTAGCCTTACGTGACCTTGACCTTTCGCGGACCATGCACATTGCACATTGCACAACCTCCGATCCGTACAGGCGCAGGAAATACGCTCTTTATGGACCGCATTCATTATGATCACGTTTCCATCGGCAAGGTATTCGAATCGAGATCACCAGTACGGCATTGCAGGTGTTTCCATGAGCAGCCTAATCCGTTACGGGGCACTGATCCGGATCAGTGATGTCCATGGAAACGGGACTCACGTGTCGCTCTTTCTCTATAGAGAAACTCTTTCTCCATAGGAAAAGAGCGACACATGGACCTGGCACACTTAAGCGCCCAGAACACATTGGCGACCCGTATGACTACGTAGACAGCCAGTCCCAAATGTTTATTTTCATTTGCCGGCCGGCCTCTGTCTGTCGCCAACGAGTGTGGTGCGCGGTGTCAGAGGTTAGGTGTGCCCGCACGTGCTGCCGGCCGCGTGACGCAACCTTTGACCTCTGAGTGGCCTTCTGCGGTCTGACGGATGCGCGCGCGCGCCCGTAGTTCGAACCATGAGGCGCGAAAAACGTAGTCATTTTTAGGATGGCGACTTGGTCTTTTAAAAGAACCGCAAAATTAGTTTTAGGAGTTTTCGGTTATGACATATGAAAGGAATTTTATGGAACGTTATTCCTACAATCATGCGAATTATCGATTATCATTGATTATAAAAGATCGTAGGAACAATTAGACTTCAGATCAGCACACAGTAGATTTGTATGATAGATCACGATATAAAAAAATGTTAAGCCATCGTCGCATTATACTTCAAACGCAAAAGTCCTGTACCTAAAGGAAATGAGGGTTTTGCCATTTGCTACGCTTGGTTGACATATTGCTGTCGTGGTACTGGTACCTATACCTATATTACCTATTTATACCATAAAACCGTCGAGAGCCTGCTAGTGCTAAACCAAACCAAGAATTGGATGCCATGTTCTTTATTTCGAATAATGTGCTGCTCTCAATCCAGCAATAACTATAACAGCCTTGATATGGGCTGTTGCGTTCTCGCTCGTGATTGGTGATTCACTCTGACCTCCGACTGATTCACTTTGACCTTGACCGGGACGACGAGGTTGAGCACGAGCTTGATGAGCAACTGTCTCCCTTGCACTTCCTGCGTCTCCCCTTGCAGCGTCTCCTGGGTCGTCCTCTCTCCTCGACGATTTCCAGGCAGACTGGCCTGCCGTGGTCATCCAGCGAACACGACCTTCCAGGACAGACCTCGGCACAGGTGGGGGGTAGGACGATCGGTGCGGGACGCGGCTGGGGGTACACCTTGGGATTGTGTTGCTGAGGGGGCTCGTACACCACCGGGGGGTGCTGAGGCTCTGGGTACACCGGGGGGTGCTGAGGCTCCGGGTAGACAGGGCCCTGTGGTTCAGGGTAGGGACCGGTACCCACAGGCACCGGAACGGGAACGAAGACAGGACGCGCCGGCTGCTGGTCAACAATCCTCACACGGTCACACTCGCAGAAACACTTGGACCGCGACCTCGACCGCGACTTGGACCGTGATTTAGACCGCGATTTGGACCGCGATTTAGACCGCGACTTGGAGCGTGACCTGCGCCGGCGCTTGCAACGTTTCCCGCTCTTGGTCCGACAGCGGCAGTGTTGGTAAGGGTCGTCATTCAGGCGCGGAGGAGGTGGAACTGGACATCCGCCACCTCCTCCCGAGTGATCCGAGCATCGTTTGCGCGGACAACGGTCACCACCACAGCCGGGCGAGGCTGCCGGTCAGCGGGGGGGGGGGGGGGTCAGTGGGGTCAGACGGCGGGTCAGTGGGGTCAGCAGATGGGTCAGTTAGATCAAAGACACAGGCGAGTCAGAGACGACGGGTCATGACAAAGCCGGCGAGGGACATCACTGAGAGCTGTTTTGATTCCTTTTAAGCATATTAGGGGAATTGGTCTAAAACAACACCCTGATCATTTCTCCGAATATACCCCAAATACACTTTCTTTGAATATCACTCTGAAATTCTTCTAATATACCCTACACTGAGAACCTTTTTGATTCCTTATGAGCATATTAGGGGTTTTGGTCTAAAACAACACCCTGATCATTTCTTCGAATATACCCAAACTATACCCTTGTTCTTTAAATAGCTCCCTTGAATTCTTCTAATATACCCTAGTAAGTACCGAAGAGGAAAGGAATATGATTCCTGTTCTATTCCCTGCGATACCCACAGTACACTCCTTTTAACCTACCAAAATACCCTTACATCGAAACCTCTAGTATTCCTTCTAAGCGTATAAGGGGAATATTTTGCAAACTATACTCGCATTATACCACGTAACACTCCCGTATTATTCTGTGATTTCCATCACTGATCTCAATGTATTCTTGCATTAGACCCCACATAGACCCAGAAGGGAAAATAATAATGCCCTAGGTACATATACCTATTCGTCGTAGAACTTGCTCAGAAACTGTCTCATTACTCTCAGCTCCCTCGTCCGATTTCCCTTTATATATCGTAACACATCCAAAACGAGGGTTAAGGTTCTATCCCCAGCAGGGCGCGTATGGCTGAATAGCCCAGCGGGGCGCGGGTTAGTGGTCAGCAACACGTCCAGGGAGCGACTGCCCGTCCTCCTCGCCCGCCCGGCCGGCCAGTCCCGGCCCGCCGACCGGTCACCGCCGGAGGCGCCGAGCGGCACAGGTACAGTAGGTCTATTAAAAAAGTCCCCAGCACCAGTGGGCGCTGCATTCGCTGAGCCGAACCCCCGTCTGCCCGTCCCATATTGATATCGCGCCGGGCTCAGGTCAGGTAGGGTCAGCGGGACCGCTCGGTCCGGCCCGCGGGCGGTGGACGGGCGGCCGGTAACGCTTTCCGCCAGCCAGCCGTAGAATCCAACAAACTGAAACGGGACGGCCACCGCTCAGCGCAGCGAAACCGGTGTTAAAGAATGGCAGTGTTACCGGTGTTAAAGAATAATCATTCATGGCCACAATGATTATGGGATAGTCATTGTTAGCCCGTGCCCACAGGAATGCCTAGACTGTCACGCCCTGTTGGAGGGGAAATGGGGATTGAGCATCATTCTTATAACTCAGCTTTGGGCATTTAAGTGGTATTCGAAGTAGCGTCAAAAGTAGCAAAAAGCAGAAAAAAATACTTCAGCCAATTTTAGATCGGGTCAGAGCAAAAGATCATGTCACCAGAGGTCATCGATGGTAAAATTTTGCTTGGACAGGGTGCGTTGCGCGCACCGGTGCATTGGGTTTCCAATTTCCATGGAAACATCAACAGACTCGGAAGCTCGTAACGCTAGCGTGGAGCCGAATTCATATCAACCGCCGCAACAATGCATGGCAGCGCAGCGCAGCGTGCTGCAGAGCGGGGCCGTGAAACATCGCCCAGGGCTATCCATGTGTCAGGGCAATCCAACCCACGTGATGGGCTCGGCCCCAGCGGAGCATGAGGCCCAGAACTCCCGCCCAGGCCCCCTGTCTCCCCCTAATTCCTGTCATCCTTCCCACTCTGAAATCGACCGAAAAAGCCTAACCTAACACAACAAGCAGCTTGTTTACCGCTATGTCTGAATAATATTGTCAGATTTAATTAAGGTCAACGGCTTAGCACGTAAATAACAGCAACTGCCGTCTGCCACCATCGGTATTATGAGAAAACCAATTGCTTTTCCACAAACACTAAAAGTTTTAAGCTAAAATTGCATGAAATTAATTTTACCAGCCTCGTGTTCCTCTTATCAAAACTTGATCAAAACGCTTCGAATGAATCAAAAGTTGATCTTTAAAGGTCATTTGAATAATTTGGCCTATGTTCAAAGACATGACCTGACTAGAAATGGTCATGATGCATAGCAGGATATTAGATCCGTATCGTGGAACTTTACAAACACTTTAGATGATTTCATAACTTAAGCATGTCTATCAAAATATTTATTACATGGCTCATGTGTAAGCTGGGTGTGTGATCATGCTTACGAGTATGTTGAACGCAACTGATAATGTTCTGTTGGCCACAATTTCTATATTTAATTTATCCTCCCGGATTTCATATTTTTATTAATGACACCCTGACGATGTCGAGAAAAAAAAAACGCTTAGGAGATTTAACAGCCTGAGATACATTCAGTATAAGGAAGGGTCAAGTCTAGGGTTACTTTTACAGGAGAACTCGAGAGGGGGATTTAAGTTCGGGGCCAGGGCGGATCCAGGGGCATCTGAAAGGGGGGCCCAATGCCATTAGGTTTTTGTTAGGATGGCACCTGCAGAACCTTACCTACCCCCAAATCCTACTCTCTCCCCGGATTCTGGCCACTTTATATTGTAAGGTTGCCAAAAAAAAAATAGCTAAAAAATATACGTAGGTAACCTTGGCGGTAAGGGGCGGGGGAGGTCCCAACTTGACTGCGCCCTTGCAAATGTCAATCAGTAGTATCAACCTATTACCCTGGCCAAACATCAATTAGCGCCTTTCTAAATAGAGAGAGGTTAACACGTGACTATTTTTGCTAGGCCAAGACCGATTGAAGGACCCTGGTTCGAAGGAAGACCCCTGGTTCGCAGCGTGTTATGCGTGTTAATGTAAGAGGTCATGACCCCCGTCCCTCGCCAGTTTCTACGCCGACGCCTGTAGCGATATGTCAGTGATTGCGAAGAGACGGAAGAGACAAGACAAGAGACGGTCCCACCGACCATCCGATCGGTATCGGGTCAAATCTGTAGTTCCCGCTGCGCTGCACTGAACGTAAAATGGTTGGATGGAACCTCAAATTGAAAATTATCTAAGCGCCAGCAACGTTGATTGATGACTAGAGTCTAATCAACGATGATTATAGAATCTGAGTAGCGAATTGATTGAAAATGGGCTCAAAAATAAATTTGAAAGGGGGAAATTCCCCCTTCCCTCCCTAGCCGTTCACGCACAATTTGAAAGGGGAGCGGAATTTTCGAAGGGGGGAAATTCCGCTTTTCCCCCCTTTAAAAGTTACCCGGGGTCAAGGGTGCTAGATTCCTTCCGTCCTCGCTATCCTCAGGAAAAACCAATCCGCATCGCCCCTAGTCTTCATGCTTCCCTCTCTGGACTGGAGGTCACCCCACCAGCCAACCTGTAGTTGATGTCGGTTCCATTCCAGGACACATAATCCTCTTCGGGTGACCGTTGGGGAGACGGCTGGACCGCCCCGACAGGGCAATCGTCCCACGGGAACAGTCACGCTTCCGCAGATCACTGTCGCTGGCTCGCACAACCAAATTACTACACCAGAGCATAGTTATGTCATAGAGCTCTGCAAGGGCCTTCTCAGACCAAAAAAGATGGCTCCCAAGTCCCAACAAAACAAACAATTTTAGCATTCAGTTTTGCATCTCATCAGGCACCACATGTTTTCAGAGTGTTTATTATGCGTTCCGTCCAAAAAAGCGCAGTTCAACTTTCTCCCATTGACTTCAGCGATCTCAAAATTGACCCGACCTTTCTGTCAGCAATGTCAAACTTGCAAAAAAAAAAACGTTTCAAATACATATACTGTTGCCCATTGAAATCGCTGAAGGTTCTAAAGCGATCGGTTAGTCGATGTATTTAGATATGATGAGCACAAGAACTTTCCTTGAGGTAAGGTCACTTAACGTGACCTGGTGCTATGACCTTGAATGACTTGACTTAGGCGAAAAAAATGGGTCATTTGAAATCTTAAAATGTTAAATTTTAACAATAATTGCAAGCACTATCCCGGCCAAATAGTGAGTGAGAAGGGAGCGATTCCCCAACCCCATGTTTAGCTCCTATAATTGAGCTAACTGCTAGAGCCTCGCGGAAAAAAACGAGCGCTTGCGTCGTTACGTGACGCAGCGACTGTTACCCCATTTTAAAATAGCAGTGACCTCTTAGGGCAGGTCAAGGGCCCCAAGGCATTGGATCGGTTTTTGGTGAATAACTTCGCCAAAAAATGGTCGTATTATCGTCATTTCGATACAATCGTGTTTTCTGTTCTCAGACGCGTCGATTTATATGCTTTTTTGCTTAGGTGAAGCAATTTAGGATGCTTAGGTCAATGTCATGTTAGGGCAACACAGGTCACGAAGCTGTTGAAAGGAGGACATGTTGCATAACATTTGATTCGGCAAGTCTTGCAGAGTCCATTGATGGCTGTCCCGACTGGCTAGCTCATTTTGATCGGGAGTTATTGACGAAGCACTCCTATTGACGAGCACTCCGTCACGCAAGGTGAACAATGCAAAAGTGAAGCATTAAACCTTGCCAAGAATGTATGAAGTCACGATTTCTTGTGCTTGAGGTATAGTTTTTAGGTCATTTCCGACGCCAAATTAACAGTTTCCATATTTTCCCATTATGCTTATATGACACTAAGTGCGTTACGGATTTGCATCATTTTATAACCGACAACCGTGCAGTCTGCAGAGGTTTACTTAAGACGTCATAGTTAAGTGACCTGACATGGAAACGTGGTTGATTTCAAATGATCCGGCTTGAATCAAATATAAGGCATATGAAATGTCAGCCTTCTATCATCAGTGTGCTTTGAGCTACCGCAAAAAATACATGGTGGCGGCATCCATCCCCTCTTCTCGGCCGGCGAGGGTTAAACCTCGCTTCGAATTATTGCAGATAATGATGCGACCGAAAACAAAGCATTTATCTGTGTCTAGAACGGCCGCTGACTTGTTGGACAAGATCCCCAATCTTAATTTGCTAGATGGGAATAAAATACTCGGCATATGATACATATTACAT